TGTTCGGGAGAATGTTTTGCCTTTTGTTCAACACGTTGGCCATGCCAAAAGAACTATGTAATAAAATAAAATAGGTATTGCACTGCGTTTGTCTAGTATTATTATAAATATACTATTATTTCTTTTCGATTGCTGTCAACGTCACTTCCGTTGGCAACTATTCTCCCTGCCGTATTTGTACAATGAAATCATGTGCATATCTTATCTAATATATACACACTCATACATGTAAGTCTGCGTACATACATATGCACACTCGCACATTTGTGTAGCAATTGCTCCAAAAATACTTTATATCAACATTTTTTATGCGCTCCGCGCCCAAAAACAAAAAACCATCTAGCAAAACAAAGACTTCCAAAAATGAAACAGAGCGGGAGTACTCAGTTAGAAGATGCCCTAAGCTATGCAGTATTCACGAATGTTTTGCTATAGGTGAAGAGGAATTATATATCGATAAAGAAGTAGGATTGAGTTGAAAGCAATTTCAAAATTTCACATAAAAGGTAACACATATATACCCTGTTAACTATTTTGTAGGGTATAAAAATAATTACGAATTGGCAAATAGACAAATAATGAATGACAAAAACAGACAAACAACGACAGACAATTGGGTCGCTTGTTCTTCCCCCTTCAATTTTACGTTATCGATAAACAAAGCCAAGCACGCACGCACCCACCCACCTCGCCCCATCTCACTTTACTTGTCTCTGTCTCACAAACTAAATCAAGGCCCAATTCGGCAAAAAAACAGCCTGCTCTGATGGCGAAGAGCATGAAAAGGGAGAGAGAGGCGCATTGGTTGACTGTAGCGAGGCACGCATGAGCATAAGCAAAGCTGCTTCTGCATCCTTAAGAGAGGCATATGGAAAAGTGTACGCAGAGCATAATTCCCTTTCGTTTTGCCGTCTGCCCTTTGACTCATACTCAATCTCATGCTCGTACTATCCACTCAGAGCTCTCTCTATTGTTATTTGAGGTAACTTTAGCTTTGTGTGTTCGCAAATGTATGCACATTTTAATGTCATAATTTTTTGCAGGCATAAAACTTTAGTTTTTATAGTGACACTAAAACGACGATTTTTGCATGCAAAACTGTGCGCAAGTTAACTTTATGATGCAACACATACATACACTCACACACTCATTCACAAAGCCACTGAGCAACAGGGATAGAGATAATGAAGACAGAAAGAAAAAACTCGCCGCATCTGCCATTTGCTGTTATTATTTTTATTATTTGCAACCTATTTTATGACAGCCGCAACCGCAACTCGTTAGTTAATTTCATTTTACCTACAATACAAGCGCAAATATTAATCGTCAAGAAAACAAAACCAAATACAGCACAATAAAAATGAGAAAACCCCACAAACAATAGACACACACACAAGAGGCGTCGTCCACATAAAAAAATGAGTATATAATATGCGTGACATTGAGTTTTGAGGTTATGCATATGATATGCAGCCGCAGTCGCCAGACACTTGAAATGTAGAGTTGCCTCAAGTCTCCATCGAGTTGGATGTGTGCGTGTGTCTGAGTGTTTGTGTGCTGCCTTGCCTTATCAAACGCTGGTTAATTGACTATGACTCGAATAGGGAATTTCTTGCACTAGTCCGTTAATCATGCCAGGTATTTATTCTCTTCAATTGATTTATGAAGTCCCAAAATAGGGAAAACAACAACAACGAGAACGAGAATATTACTAAAAATGTGCATCAAAACGTAATATCGGCAGCGACGTCAGCAGCGGATCGTGAGCGTCACAGCTGTCATTAAAACAACATTAAAACTAAAACAAACAGAGGCAACAAATTAAACGCACACATATCGTGAGTGCAGACTATAAAAAACAAATAGCATTCTCCATTGGATCCCAATTCGATAAAAAAAAATATAAAAAGCAAGGCCAAACACAGTCACATTAACACAGAAGTTGACAGTAATTCAGTGTTGTAAAACGTTGACAATTACGGAGAGTTGTGCATCATTAGGCTTTGAATTTAAGTTAAATAGTTAAGAGAAAAATTCCTTAGATTTTATGCCAATTTTGGGAAAAAAGCTATTGGGGAGCACTGCCAATTCAGCTATTTCGATACAGTTGGCAGCCCTTGCCATTAAATAAATCAATCTATCAATCGATCAATTCTCTTGGCCATGTACCCCTAACTAGGCCAAATGATAGCTAAAAAGCAAGGCACGAGCAAACAATCGAACAAGAGAAAATAAACTAGGTAAGAGGTGCGAACACTTTATATGGCAAATAAATTAAAAATATTCTCAAACACAATCGAACTAGTTGAACGACTGGCAAATACCACGTACAATGCCATTATAGAAAAGTTAAAGAGATGTGATTGGTAGAGGTGACTTGACTAGTATAGCTTGGCCCGTTCTCTTCGTTCTTCTGATCGACGACACAAAACTCGTATACCCTCTTCCATTAACTAATTTGTGCAGGGTATAGTAAGAAGCACATGCTGAATCAGAGACGAACCTCTTTCTGTTTTTTGGGCAAGTGCCGAATGTGGGTGTGTGTGAATGCGGTTTTATACTTATATATATATATATATATATATATTGTATACATATATATTGTCAGATATTTATCGGCATTTCTAACTGAGTAACTTTGCTATAAACGCGCATTGCCGTCATTGAATTTTGTTGTTAACTGATTCATCAGACGCGCCAGGCGCTGTTAAAATTAAATTGTTTGCCACTGACGATATTTACCTTGACGCATGCAACGGCAACAAACAAGCAACGGAACCTAATGAAAAAACAACATCAAATGAGAAAAATCACACACATGTACTTGCATGACAAAAAATCACAATTGTACAATTAGTCATTTCATCAATTAATAATTAACTATTTTTAAACGTGCGCGCGGCGCTGCCCCATTGGCGTCGCTGCTGATGATGAGCTCAGTTTTAAGCAATTTCCAAAGCAAGATAGAGCGAGATAGCGACACACACACTCATACGACTATATAGTTATTAACAAGCATTTTTCAAGATTTATCGTATTTTTTACACCTTGAACTTTGACGCAACACACTTAAAAAAATATATAAATTAAAAAAGAGCAGTGCAAAGCTCGACATAGGCAGTGTGCAAAAGACAGAGACAGAAAGTCGAAGCGAGAGCAACTTGACAGCTTATTTGTATACATGTGTGCGAGTTTGCGCTGTATCAACAAGCATTTGCATGCAATAAGCTAGTTGCACCTGTATCAACAGCGGTCGAAAGCTGTGCACATTTTTCGACAACAGCAGCGTATTTAAGAGAGCCCAGAGAGCCCAGCACAATTCGCCTGCGAATTCGCCCCATCTATTTGCATTTGACATTTGCTAATGCCAGGCAATTAATGCAAGAGCGTACAAAATTAAAGAGCAAGCGGAAAGCCAAAAGCCTACTCTTCAAGAATTCAGCACTTCATGACCTTCAGAGATTTTTTTGTTTTTGTTTTGCCTCTTCAGTTTCTTTTACTCTTCTTGGGTGCGTGCGTTGGGATGCTTGAAAAAAAAATCAAAAAATTAACATAGCTTAGTTGAAGAAAGCTGCAATAAGACAAAAGAAAGCTGCGGAATTTTAGCAATGCGGCCAACACGATGGCCAATGGCCTCCCCATCCGCCAACACAAGGCCTTAACAGCTAGACCAGTCTAACTCTCCACAGAGCAGAGAGACAGAGAGGCGGAGCGAAAGAGAAAAAAGTAGAGATCGTTCATTGCCATAACAAAAGAAGCAGCAAATGTTGGATGAAAACATAAATATATATGTATATATAGATATGTTTCTTATATAAATATCTATATATTGGTTATGTCTTAAGTACGTTAAAAGCTGGTATTATAAATTAAAGAGGCAATTTAAATGCATTTGAACACGCGCACACATCACATGCCAGAGTCTGGCATAGTCAATCGGGTATTACCACTGCCACCTGTAACTTTCAACATGCGATCTCCTGGCATTTTCACAATATATTATGTGATCTGTGTCTGATTCTCTTTAAGCCAAAAGACAGTTTAATCTGTTTTATTATAATTTCAACTTTAATTATAATGCCGGGATTATTTAATTTGTTCGAGAACTGATCTATTCATAGAGAGCGTGTTTTGTAGAATTAAAATATAATTCCTTCTCACATAAGTCCAAGGCACGTCTTTTCACCCAAAATAAGACACGGTTTAACCCATAGCCTGTTGGAAAAGTTAGTATTCTCTCAATCAATCATGTATCTATGAAGTCAGCTTCCTTTGACTTCTAACCAAGGATCGAGATTTACCGAATGCAGAATTCAGTATTGAAGCAACATTTATTTTGTGCGCTTTACAACACTCATTGCTTGACAGATATGGGGGATTTTTGCCAATATATGTATACATAAGCACACTTATATAGGTGACTGTAGAGTTAGCTGAAGTAGGCATGATTGCATTTTGCTTTACAGTTAGTCGTTTGGCCAAACGAGTCGCTGAATAAAAAGCATCGTAGCTGTTATGGCTGTTGCTGTTGCCGCCGCCTCTGGCTCTGTCTGTGGCTGTGGCTCTGCCACTGCCTCTGCCTTGTCGCCGGACGCTTCTGCCTCTGCTGCTGCTGCTACTCGGCTGTCTATCAGCTTGTTTATGAGGCACTGTCTCTGTTTCTGTGTCTCCGCGTTGTAAGCTTGACTGCTGCAAGCAGCGGTGGCATTTGCTGTGGCACTTAGCCATTGCCATTACTGGTTGTTGTTTTTGTTATTGCTGTTGTTTGTTGCTGGTCAGATTTGCTTGTTGTTGCTGCTTGACTAGCGCTTTTAGAAAGTATGTCAATTTAGAAAAGCCGTTGACTGGACAACGCACACAGACAGACACACACACATGCATGCATGCATGTACACATACCAGACTAGTTAGACCCACACAGTGAGCCATTTCTGTATATATATATATACGTATAAATATATACAATGTTTGTAAATATACCAATATAATTTTATACCAACCCAAGCAAATTGTTGTTGCTGCTCTTGTTGTAGTTATTGTTATTGTTGTTGGCTTCATACAAATTGCACTTGAACACAACACACGAAAAAAAACGACATTTATTCTTCAAATTGCAATTTCCACAGAAAAACAAGGCGAATTCGAAACGTCACAAAAAAACTTTGCGTCTAATTGAAACGAGCGCGCCGTCGCGACTGTCTAAATAAAAGCTTGCTGCTGCGTTAGCGGCTGCGGCTGCGGCTGCTGCTGCTTCGTTTTCGATGACTCCCAAAAGAGAGTGGAAAAATGGGAGAGTCAGAGAGAGAGAGTGAACGTGAGTGAGTGCGGGCGGGGTTAAGCTGCTGCTGCTGCTGCTTCTGCTGCTAACTCGAAACTCTGCTCAGCTAATATTGTTGCGTGCGGTGCTTCGTACATACGCGTTAGCAAGTTTGCTGCTGACTAAATGGCAAAATTTATAATAGAGCACGTTGTGCGCTGAAACGACGCCAAAGCCTAACAGAAGCAGCAGCGCCAGCTTACGCCAACCACAAACGTATAGAGAGTGAGTGAGACAGAGAGACAGGTAGAGAGCGGAAGAGCGAAGTAAAGCAAGAGAGCAAGGAAAGACAGTTAACAGCAGCATTGTTGCTGTTTCAAGATAGCACAGGAAATAATATCACACACATATATATTACTATACATACATTGTATATACACACACTTATATATAAAGTACGAAAGAGAGACATGCGGCATATTGTGCGATATGAGCGCCAAAGCATATCAATAACAGTAAACAGCGTGAAGGGGGAAGAGCAGTTAGTTATGCTTTTTAGTTGGAAGCTTGCGGCTGACACCGGTGACAACAGCAACAGCAGCAGCTGCAGTCAATTGAAAGTTCGCTTAATGTCTCACAGATGGAGCTACAGCTGCAGGTGCAAGGCTGTACGGTGAGCAATAACCAATAATAAAACCCAAAGTCTACACTAGCACACACATACACTGTGAGAAATATTTGCGGCTCGTAGATAGACAGTCGAGATCACAACCCAAATTAGAACATTACGTATATACACATATAAACATACATAGCTAACCACTTTGAAAATAGTTTATCAATTTTGTTGTTCTTTCGTTTCGCTTTGATAAAAAAATATATTAAGAAAACGAAAAAAAAAACTAATGATGTACTAATGATTGAACTGGAATGTTGAGTTGTGATAAGAAAATACAAAAATAAATAAATATATATATTTATGTACATACTTGGACTAATATATAAAAACATATGAATATATATAAATATATATATATTTATATATGTCCAAATGTGTACTTAAATATTTATATTTGTCTACATATGACGCCCTTTAGAGGTTAAGTTCAGCGGATTCTGCAATAAATTGCAATTCAGAATCCTCCACAAAAGAAGCACCATGAACAAGCGTTATTGTTGCTGTGTCTGCCTTGAATTACACTCTCCATATTCATCTCTCCACTCCTTACGCATTGCCATCGCTCGCACTCATTGTAAGGTCAATGCAGCTTGACTTGACTGTCAGTCACCGCCGCATTGCTTGTCGCTGTTCACTTTCAAAAGCATTTCGAGCAAAAGTAAAAGCTCTCCCACGCAGTTTTTAATGGTGGCATTGTTGGAAAGAGAAAGAGCAAGCACAAGATCGCACATCGTAAATGTTAACGGCGACGTTGACGCCAACATTAAAGTGTGCTGCACGCAATGCTTAAAGACATTTTTGTCCATTATTCCAGGTAAGATAGTAAGAGCGCCAGGCATGAATGGGGGTAGGGGCTATGTGGCTGGGGGGAGGTGAACTGTTTAAATTGTATATGGATCGGTTTTGGGGCGGCGTCGGAGGTCAACCGGCGATTGACCCACTAAGTAACGATGATGACGCAGCGGGTGTCTCTGAGTTGGTGCGAGAGCTTTTGCTTTGACGTTGATTTATTTCTCACACTTTGTTCACTAAATGGGTTAAGGGCAGTTCTGATTGGGCAGCCGCTGCTGCTTCTGCTGCTGCAAGTGATAGCGCAGCAGTTTTAAGGCGTTGCCACCCATACCAGTCACCCATACTGCCACCCATTGCCAGTCATACAAACACATAATCACACATACACTCACACACTAAAATCTCAGTTCCAGAAGTGCACAAATATTTGTACTTACATGCAAATAATACACAAATTATAAAACGATAAAAAGCGCGCGCTAAAGCTTTCGCTCGCAGCTGCGCTCGCGCTTTTGCACTCTTACTTGCACACGTGCAAACAAAAAAATAAACACACAGCAACAGCAAAAGCAGTTGTATTTTTCGACAATTTTTTTGCTGTGCTGTGCGCTGACTTTACGTACCGAGAGTCAAATGCGAAATGAGCCGCCGTCGCAGCGCAGCGAATGCGAACACAACGTTTTTATCTGTGTGCAACGGACGAGGAGAGGGTAGGTGGAGGCTTTCGGTTCTCGAGAGATGCTCCACGAAAATGTAATGGCCGGCCAGCAGCCCAAAAAGCAAGTCACGCGGCTGACTTGAAGCTCCACACACACACACTCACACATATGCACAGTGAAGTGGAGAGCGAGAGATCGCAGAGCGTAACAAGTGTCAGTTGGACTGTTGTCAGGTGGCAACGCTGGCGCATTGAAATTTGAAAGCAGGCGCCCACTTTTAACGTTTTTCGTTTCGTATTAGTTTAGTTTTGTTACGTAATGCCGCCGACGCCACCACCACCGGCTTAGGTGCTGTACTCTACGCACCGCTGCACCCGCTTAACTAGTCAAGCATAACAACAACCCGTTTTGGTTAATTTACATAAAATACGATGCAACAACAACAGCAAGTCGCTGCACACTTGTTGCGCAGCCCCTCCCCCAAAAATGAAAATCTATCCTAACGCTGCGCAGTCGACGCATGAGCAAACAAACTTAGTGAGAGTGCCGAAACAGCGACGACTGCGCAGCCGACTGTCGCGCTTCATGGCAATCGCACGTGAAAGTCCCAAAAAAGACGAAGAGAGAAAAAGAGAGAGGATTTCTTCAAGTTCGAATTGTCGTGTGACGTCGACGACGCTGCCGCTGTCGCATCGCTGTCTGCACCCAAAATGCAAATTGTAAATTGTGTTTAATTTCCATTACCTAAAAATATTCGCCACAAAAATAAATTCAACAGGCGGCAGAGTCGATGACGTCAGCGCGTCTTCTGCTGCTTCGGTTGTTGCTGGTCTGTGCAAAATTTCAGCGAATTCAATGCCAAACACACACACATGGGCGCAGCTGAGGAGCAGAACACAATATCCGAAGACCAAGCCGACGACGCACGAACGAACGAACAACAGTAGCGTTCGCCGTAAGCGCAACTAGTGATGAGCATATTGCTAGTCACGAGGTATCGCGTGTTGCTTGAAAAGTGAAAGCCAAAAACAATTTACTCATCTTCAATATAAGGTGTCATGAGATTAATTAAAGATACATATGTATATTTTAATTTTAATTTCTAACCCAACTCATCTTATTTTTGGTATTTTTAAACCAAACTTTCGATATTCAAATATTGTGTTAATTTATTTTTCACGCTCACGTGTGCACGCGCACATCAGCAGCGTCAACGTTGGGTGCTTACCTGTGGCTGCTGTTGCTTCTTCTCAGAGCATTTTTTTTTTCAGCCCAATAAAACAAAAACAACAAAAAATCATTGGGCAGCTACGCAAATTTCGCATAAAATGGCAACGCTGGCACACAAACTGGTTTTGCCTCAGTTTGCTGGATATGTATGTACATAAATCATAGAAAATAAGGTGTTAATTGATGAGAGCCATTGCAGAGAGGCAGACAGAAGGAGAGAGGTAGAAAGAGATTTTAAGACAGCTTCGGTCGCCATCCCGTTTTGGACATGTTCAACAAGCTAATTACGAATCGTTCTACTTTTGGCCGATAAATCAAATAATGAATGAACTGGCTTATTCTCGCACACACACACTCACACACAGCTATGGAAATTGGGAGAGTACGGGAAAGAAAGAGAGGGAGCGCACGTTGGCGTTGCCAGTAAGTGAGCGAGTGTAAACAACTGCGCCGCAGCATCCGCTACTACAGCATTTGCTGGCCTCTCTCTTGCGCACTCTCGGTGCTCTCGCTCGGTTTTTTGCTTCGTAAAATGGGCCAAGCGCGTACAGCGAACAGCACGAAAACGGGAAGATCTCGACTGCTATTAAAGCTTAGAACTTGGGTGCCATAGGCTTTGTGGTTCTTTTTTGTTGTCTCTTTTGCGCTAGCTTTCTGCGGTTGCTTTCTCGTTGCCACAAAACAAACCGTTACAAATAGCATGGGAATGTCAAGCCATTGAGATGCTGAACAAATCACAAAGAACCAGAACAGCAAAACGTTTGACTAATGTCCCGGTTCAATAAAATTCTAAAAACTTTCATACCCACATACATACATGCATATGCATGCGTGTGTATATATGTGTGAAGGCAGAAGCAGGCCAGTCATTAAACCAGTGTGGCCAGCTTTAGCGTTTTTTCAGTCAAATCAGGATTGGGAATGTCGTTATTTGTTCTTTTTAACCAACAAAGTAGATACATATGTATTGGTAGTCTTATATATTTGCTTCACTTTAAATGTGAATTTATTAGACCTTAAAAACTTACATAGAATCCAAACAAATTCTTAAAAAAAGAAGGAAACATTCAGCTTAAAATTCAAACAATATTAAAACATCTAACTGGAAAATGCGCCTTTATGCTAATGAGATAATATGCTGTTGTTGGACTAACTTCTGTACACACACACGAGCTCGAGTACTATGCACGTATACACATGCGGCGACATATGATAAAGACGGAAGTAAGCGACCTGCAGACACAAAGAAAGACAGTAACACAATACAAGACGACGCAACATAACGCAACGCCAGCAGCGTCTTTGTATATATGTGTGTGTGTGTGTGAGTGAGTGGAAAAACTTTTAACGACGCTGGAAAAACGGTGGTTGTGAGGCGGCATTGACTGCAATTTTCACACGCTTTGCCTAACACAACTTCAGCAACAATAATAAGCAGAAAAAGGTAGCCGGCGGCCAGCGACAGTGATTTATGGCAGCTGGCACACCAACAAAAAACCAAAATGCATGTAGAAAGAAATATTAATTCTCACATTATTTTCCATTGTCTCGCTCTAGCGCACAGCGCGCGCGCTAACAACTTTAGGGCGAACTGAAGCTTGGGCACTGAAATTCAAATATTTAACAGACTTTTTGGCGAATTTGATTTAAAGCGTCGGCGAAGAGAGCGAAGCTTCAACATGCAGCAAAGTCTCTCACTCTCACTCTCACTCTCTGATTGTCAATATGGTTGTTGCTGTTTCTTGCAGACAACGAAACTGTGTTAGCTGCATGTTTTAGCAAGTAAATACAGCAAATAATAAACTGTCAGCGGCAAATTTGCCAATTTGCAATGCCAAAAACAGAAAACGTTGACAAAGCGGCGCGCAGGCCGGTTAATGACTCACTCAAACCAATTCAACTCAAGTCGTGCTCTCTCTCACACTTGCACACACATACGCACACTGACACACACATATATGTACACATATGCACACTGACGCCGCGCACACCGGTATTTCAACATTGCGTTACACACTCATTTCGTTTGCTCGGTTCTTGCTTGCTTTCTTGCCATCCCACTTCATTTTTATTGCCTTTAATGCTGCATGATCACACAAAAAAGAAAAACCTTTCGTACTAGGTACACTTGTACAATTGCATATAATGTACATAGGACAGAAAAGGTGTAAGATATGAAAACCAATTAACTTGGCTGAACTCACCTGCAATTTCGGCTGACACCGGCACAAAGTGTTTGCGTGGAGTTTTACTTTCGTATTATTTTATATACAACGCAACATACACTCACAAACGCCAATATACTATCGCTGTTTGTTATTGGCTATAAATGCGCAGAAAATCACACAAAAGTTGAACGAAAAAAAAATAATAGAATAAAACTGCTTCAGTGGCGCGGCGGGCACAAAAGCACAAAAATTACTTCGCTGTCGCTGTCGCTAGAGCTGCACCACAATCGATAGTATCGATAGTTTCGTCACCCAAAGCACAATAATCACGAATAAAGAAGGCAACCGCAGTTCTAAAAGTGTTAAAGTATGCGGAACTGCTATTGGATGCCTTCACTTATATACATATAAATACATGTGAATGTGACGGCGACGACAATGCTCGATGCGATATAATTTGGCTTTACCTTAAATAGTCCCAAAGTGTATTTTATATTATTTATTATTAGTAATAGCTAACTCAAACAAGGCAAACTGACGATCGGTTATATTAGAGATGGATACAAATTTCGATACATCGAACGCATTCACAATTAGAACTCGATATGTTCTTAATTTCGATATCGGTAGCATAAATATATAATGCACAACCATTTGTATGCACAAAATTGATGCTAATACTTATCCGTTTCCCTCCACCGTTTATCGATAACTTTGTTGGCGCGTGCTGCTGGTATTTGAAAAATGTCGGCCAAATGTAAATTTAGATACGAAAAAAACAAATTTATTCAGCTTCAATTGAGGTGAGTATCGGGCGTCAAAAATAACTTAAAATCCGCAACATTTTATGCTGGGCTCACTAATTTTGTACTCATCGAGGTCACATAGAAATAGATAGATAGAGATAGATTCAACTCGAAATAAAAAAAAAACACTTATGCTACATCTAGGCGCTCCCGCAGCAGGCGCTCCCGACTCTCCTGCGGATTGAGCAGCACCTTCACCAGATGCTCCACCGTTGGCCGCTCTGCGGTGCAGAGGACTTTCAGTCCCAATGATTCCAATGCGCGTCGAGTACTCGGACCAATGGCCACCAGCTTCCATTGATCTGGCGTTATGTTGCGGGCCTTAAAGTATTCGTACGCGCAATTTACGCCGGAAGGTGAAAAGAATGCCAGGAACTCTATATTCTCCGCCTTCAGAGCACGATCCATGCACTCGGCCAGCTGTGGATTACACTTCGTCTCATACACCTCGCAGGCATCTACACAAAACCCGTTCTCGATCAGCTTCGAGAGCAGTGTGTCCGTGGCCAGATTACCGCAGGGCAGCAGTAGCGGCAGATTCCTTGATCCATCAAACGTGTCCACAATGAAGTCGCCCAGATTCCGAGCATTGCCCGTCTGCTTGCCGTGGGTGAACAGCTGTTGCAGCGTGCTCATCGCCAGATTATGCGTAACCTCGCCAACGGCATAGTTATGCAATAGCTTCCAACCGCCGGGCAGTTCCGCAAGCTGCAGTGCCTCGGCAACAGCTTCGACACAGCGCGGACTTGTGAAGATTATGCCCGCATATTTGTCCGGCGTTTGCAGCTTGGCCTGCAGCTGGTCGAGATTCTTGAAGCCAAAGCTCAGCGTCGGCACGAACAGTGGCTGAAAGTTGTGACCCAGCAGGGTCTCTGCATAGACATCCGTGCTCTCCGATTCTGATTTGAATATAATCACCGTCCGCTGTTGGCTGCTCATCTTGCCGTTTGCTCTCTGTCTTGTCACGATCGATCGCTGCTTTTTGCTCTATATATATATAAATATGCCGATTATATAGTAAATGCAATCGCAATTCCTATGCAACTGCAGCGATTTTTTCCCTTCTTTCTTCTTTTTACTGCCGCCTTGGCCAGTGGCCCAACAATTTTTGTTGCTGCACTGCTCGCACAGCTGTTTTGCCGGCCTGTCGCAGCGTTGCCACCCAGTCCGAAAGTACCACGGCCAACGCGCCAAAGTACAGTGGGCAACAATTTGTTGATTTTCGAATTAAGAACAAATATACAATTATGAAATTTATGTCTACTTTTATTTGTCTACATAAATGGCAGTTTCCAATGAGTTTTTATTATCTATATTCTAGTTACATACTAAGCAGTCTTATGTATCATACTATATCTAAATATTTATTTGGGTTTTCAAACATAAAAATGAAATATAACGTTGTAAAATAAATATAAATGCATATATTTCAAACTCAATTTCATATTAACTAATAAATAGTATTTCGTTTCTTTTTTCCTTTTAAATTTAACAAATTGTTGATTGTAATAAACATTTTAACCATTTTCCCCAAAATATATTTTGTAGATGTCTTTTGAATTAGACAGGGAACTAGATAGGGTTAATTTGTATGTATATAGATAAAAAAAAAATTCCAGAATTTTGTAGAACTTCTTAAGAGTTAAGCGCGATCTAGTTCTGTCAGCTATATATAATAAATTTGTTGTTTAAAAGACAATATTTAAGCAAGATCTTAGACTATTTAGTAAATATATGTGAAATATAGCGTCATTGATTCCTGAGTCGATATGGGACTATAGCTTAAGCGATTAGCTCGTTATGTTTAGTTTTTTTTTTTAAATTGTTGAAACCAAAGAAATAACCTGAAAAATTTGATTAATTAACGAACCCAACCAAACTGAATAAAACGAAAACTAGATTGAAAATTAATTGGGCTTGGCGACTCCGTCGCGATCCATCCATTTGCGCAACAAATCGCCGGGACGATATTCCTGGGTGAAATGTCCGACATAGGGCGAGGCCGGAGCCGGCATCACGCGCAACGGAGGTCCGTAGTCGCGCAATGAAGTTTGGTCCGACTGACCCCACAGTGGCTGCTGCTGCACTGGCTGCTCCTGGCGCTGGGCATTTGGATTGTTGTTGCCCATCTGTGACTCGAAGCCCGATGACTGGGATGAAGTGCGCGAGAACTCACGATTGTAGCCGCAAGGCATCAGATTAGCTGTGTTTGGCTCCTGAAACAGATCCGGTTGTGGATGTACGCTGGCAGCGTTCACCCAGGCGGAGATATCGCCGTGGCGCTGCTGCATCTGGAGACGTGAAGGATATAGCAAGTTATTGGTGGAACGTGTTAATGGGCGTTGATCCATTCCAAAGCCATAGGTGGGCTGACGCGGCTCCAAGCCAGCCGCCGGATAGTTGGAGCCGGCGCGTTGCCAAATGGCATCCATATTCATGTTCATGGCATAGTTGTTGCGCCAGGCCTGCTGGTCCAAGCTGTTGGCCGAGTACATGGGCGTCTGGCTACGATAGCTGGCGGCCGGCGCCGGCACCGGAGATGCCATCATCGGATTAATGGTCGTGCGCTGCGACGACAGACGCAGCGAGTCCAAGGACAACACTGAAGGCGCCACCAGCGGCTTGTTGAGAATGTTGCCATTGTCATTGACGTTGACGTTGCCGTTGCCGCGGCCATGGCCATGAACATGGCTGTTGTTACCAAGCTGCGGGCTTGCGCAGTTGGAGCCATTCATCGACATATTGCTATTGCTGACATTGCTGGCATTGCTCAACTGCTGGCTCAGCAAGCTGATTGTCTCGTCGTCATTGATGCACTCATCCGCGCACAGCCGATGAAAGCTTTCGCCCGCTGACAGCTGTTCCACGCAACTGCCTTGACGCAAGTTCAACAAAATAAGGGTCATCAGACTGCCCAGCAGCTGTTAGGCAATTGTAGATGGGATTAAAGAAAGCTAGCGACAGAGAACGGATGAAGAATGTTTGATACTCACGACAAAAGTGACCCCGTCAATGGCCTCGAGGAACAGAAAAGAGCCCTTGGCATAGACGCTCCACACGACCAGCAGGGCGGTGTAGCGTGTCAGCTTGAATCCACTAATGATGTTGCTTATCAAACTGATGATGAGCATGGCGTAAGGATAGACGGTGGTATAGCAGCTGCCGAAGGTCGCCTGGGCAGCCTGGGTCTGATCCATGCCCACAGTATATATTAGCATTTTGCCCATGATACTGGCAAACATCCAGAGTTTCGACGTAAAAGGCTGGCCAAGGAGCAATTCGCCGATATAGCCGAGGACGACGTGCAGCATGGTCAAGGCGTGAGTGTAGGCAAGGTAAACGGGTCTGCCCAGTGTGCTGCCCAGCATGAGGGTGAACTGTTCAAGTGATGCTGTTGGCAGAGTGCACAGCAGGCAGACGATGTTGACCAGCGTCAGCAGCTTCATCCACAGTTTATAGCGTTTTAGGCGGCGCATTTGTTGGGCGCGAGCGAGACTCTCATAATGCGGTTGCTTGAGCAAGGCGGCGCCTTTCATTATGAAGTACAAAAACTTCGAGCCCAACACCATTTTCTTCTTCTCGTGCAGCACCTTGTTCACATGACGCTCACAGGTGCTACACAGTCGATACTTTTGCTCCAGCTTATCTCTGCAAGCAGGTGAATGAATGAAAGACCTAAGAGAACTGGGCTGCTACTTACTGATAGAGCTTGAGTTCTTGGTCGAAGCGCGACTCAAAGCGTGGCTCGAACTGTGCCAGTTTCTCGATCTTTAGGCGCTGCGCTTCATTGCACTGGGCGCACAAACCATTGTCCTGCGGCGGCGGCTGTCCGCTGTTGCCATAGTAGGCATTGGCACAGTGGACGCTCTTCGCGCCGCTGCTATTGTCCACCGACGAGTTGGTATCGGAGCGCGAGCTATTGACGCGCTGCGACAAAATATCTCGATTGTAATCGCCATCTCTATTGAAGCCATTGTACTGCTCGCAACTGGGACACGTCCAGCTGTTGCGCTCGCCGTAGGGCACGCGCGTATTATTGTTACAGAACCAGCAGTTTACAGTTGTGTTAAAACGTGAGCTAGCACGAATATACAAGAATTAAACTAATGACATGTGGTTGTGGCAGTTGTTGCCTCACTTACCGTACGCTATAAAGCTTGTAGCACAGCTGAATTACAACCAAAATGAGCATCAAACATGGCACCGCTTTGGCGGCAAACTGTATTAGGAAGGTTTTCATTTCTCTTCTTTTTGTTAAAATTTAAATAAATATGATATCCAACTAACACTACTTCCAACTATGACTAGGTCAGAATAATTCAAATCATCCGTATGACAATTACATACAAATTTAAAAAATTTAACCGGGCAGTGACAGCGGCTAGCTCTCGTCCTTTTATGTCATTTTGTTTGAAACATCGATAACCATAAGTTTTTGCGAGGCATGGCATGGCATTACATATGTATAATTACATTATCTCCAATATATCCATTCGGCAGAGCAGGGCAAGCAAAATGTTAATTGGCTATAATAGGTTTATAATTTTAATAAGTAGCAAAATAAGAAATGTCACCACAGTAAATCAATAAAACGCACTAGGTTTTTAATAAAGAATATTTTGGATAGGTTATGGCTGACGTGCAATATATTTGTTACATAGCGTATATATATACCGATATATCGCTTATGTTATCTGGTCACACTGCAACGTAGACAAGCGAATGCTAAACACGAGCCGTGTGTTTTGAATGCCGCTAGCACGTTGCACGTGTTAAAAAGTATTTTATTTTTATTGATAACAGACAGAGAACTGAGGCTTTAAAGCGAATAATTGCCCCAAAATGCAACACGACGATGTGAGTAATCCTAATTCTATCGAGTTATGCTTGAATACAAATGTTCATCCACACACAGGTCGTTTGGAGCATCATCAACAAATCCTTTTGTTCACACAAAGTCAAGTGAGTGAACATAAATTGAATTTAATTAGAAATTGCATTGAAAATAAAAAAATGTTTCTCTGTAGAACTGACACGCGTACTTTCTGTCGCCATGAATACAATCTAACGGGCTTATGCACGCGTCGCACCTGCCCGCTGGCCAATTCCCAGTATGCCACGGTGCGAGAGGAGAAGGGCATTATTTATCTATTCATCAAGACGGCAGAGCGGGCACATATGCCCAGCAAGTTGTGGGAGCGTATAAAATTGTCGCGCAACTTCGAAAAGGCCATCGAGCAGATCAATGAGAATTTGGTCTTCTGGCCCAAATACATGATAGCCAAGAATAAGCAGAGATTCCTAAAAATCACACAGTATCTGATGCGTATGAGGAAGCTGAAGCTGCGCCGCCAGAAACTGATTGTACCGCTGTCCACAAAGATCGAGCGACGCGAGGCGCGTCGTGAACAGAAGGCGCTCATAGCGGCGAAGATCGATAACCATATCGAGAAGGAGCTGCTGACGCGTTTGAAAATGGGCACGTACAAGGATATTTATAACTTTTCACAGACGGCGTTCAATAAGGCGCTCGAAGCGGAGCAAGTGGAGGAGGAGGATGACGAACAGGATGATGTGGTGGAGCGCGAGAATGAGCTGGAAATGGAAGTTGATGAAGCAAGAGAACTGCGGGATGCACTCAACGACACAGAAGAGTTTGTCGAAGCAGCCAGCGATGATGAAGATGACGAAGATGATGATAATGAGGATGATGATAATGAGGATGATGACGAGGAGGAAGTTGACTATGAGAGCGATTCGGGTCAGCGCGAAGAAGTGGAAATGGACAGCGACTTTGCGCAGTCCGACGATGATGATGACAATGAAGACATTGAGGTAAAAATATTGTTAAAATTTGTTCATTCATCTCAATTGGCAACTTTTCATTCGACTGACGAACGCATGACTTACTTTGCTATTGACATTTGCATCGCTTAGAATTTGTTTTGTTTCGAATCTGTTTCATATGCAAAAATCATTGCACAAGCCTAATTACCATAATTTGCAATGAAAACAAGACAAGTTCCTCAGTTACGTGCACTTGTTAGTGTTGCCGGCCGGCCGGCAGAAGGTAGTAGTCGGCAGCGCTGTCGGCGTCGCTGCCGCTGACAACGCTAGCTACTCCGATAGCGCTCCCCACATTAAGCTGCGATGGCAGTCGATGAACGCGCGCGCGCGCATATTGACTCGAAACTTGAGCCGCGCTTTTGAGTGACAAATTGCCAAAAACTATCAAACAGAAAAACAGTGTTAAATAACGTAAATATTTCATGCAGGATACCCACGTGCCGACCAAACCAACGAAGAAGCGTAACGCCGAAGATAAGCAGTCAAAAACAACAACAGCAGCAGCAGCTGGAGCTAAGCGACGCGGCAAACCGAAACTGCAATTGGAATATGAAGTGGAATATGAAGCTCAGGCTGATCCAGCACGGCAAATGCGTCATAAGTGAGGTAGAAATAACAATAGAAGAGCAGCAAAGCAGATTAAAATAATAAACAATTATTTTTTGTATAGATCTAATTAAATTGTAATGCGAATAAGAACGAAAACACAAAAAAACATAAAAAAGCAAAAATGTTCAAATTCTACTTTAAAACGAAAGAGATGGCAATAGCGCTTGCATTTCAAATTTCGTGTGTGTGTAAGTGTGAATGTGGCCAAATATGGCATGAACTTGACATTGACAACACTTGTTTTTGCTGCTGTTTGGCTGTAATGTTTGTTGTGAAGTCGCAAAAACCAGTTCTATAAAATCACAGCTAAATTAAGTTGCTTAGCTTTACATTCAATTACAAGTTGGCTGGCCAATTAAAAAGCAAGAACAAAAGTTTAATTTATAAAAATTATATGTATAAAATGCACGCCAAGTTCAATGCAGCTGACGGCGACGTCGCTGCTGCAATCGACGCTGGCGTCGGCGCAGACACTCGTCAAGGCTTTTGCTGAGCCAGCTTCAGCTTCAGCTTTGCAATTGTTTGCTTTTTGTTATTTATTCTCGTTACGGGCTACTGACGCTAATATCACCAAAGCGACCAAAGGTTCTATATATCACACACACACGCACACAAACGAAGTTGTCAACAATTGCCAATTAACAGATTTTATGGTCCTCACTTTGGCGGTTCAAATTGCAAAACCGAAGGTGAAGCGATTCGACTCAATTTGTTTTGTTAATGGCAAAAACTTAAGTTTCGTTTTAGAGTTCCCATACGTGATTCCTATAAAAACCAAACAAAAACTCAACCTTACGCAGCATCCACTATAAACTATTCTTTATTTGCTAAACAGATATGCATAGATATTTTTACATACATTATTTTTTATAGAGAGAGCGAGAGATATATACTTAGATATAATCCACAGAAAGTCAAGTTTCCAGAACATTTATTTTGCATTATATAAGAAAATTCCTAACGTTCAGTTAGCAACAATTGAAGTGCTCTTGCTTGCCTATAGAAACTTGTTTTTTTTTTTTTTGTAATAAAAACATATTATTATTTTAATTAAAGCTAACTACAGGCGGAGGGCCTTCTCTAAATATAACTCTCAAATGACAATGAATAGTTTTTAGTTTAATATTACTTAAAACTACATTAAATCTATAAAAAATTGATGCCATGTAATATCGTACAGAGAGCGAAACTGATCTATAGAGAAAGAGGATATGCTGCATATATAGAGATTTTTATATGGGCCAAGGATATATTTTTGTTTTAATTCGCTTTTAGAAGCCATAAGACCTCAGCTCACAAAATTGTTGGCATATTTCCAGCAGGCCATATCTTCATCCTACATGATCAAGCCACAAATCAACGGCTTACAATTAGCACAAACTTCGTTGCCTTCCGCCCAATTAAATGTAATGCAACGCGATTTAGTTAGAGTTTGTGTATATATATATACATACAGCTATATTAATGTTAAATACAAAAGAATTTCGGTTTCTCATTTGGCAGCAGTTGCCTTGGGAAGGTTGGGGCTAAAAAAAAAAAAACAAAAATATAGTAGTAGAAACAATACAGTCGCTGCCTGGGCTCAGGTAAGATTGCAATTAGAATTGAATATCCGCTTGAACGGAAACGTGATCGCACGGCTGCTAGCATAATTATTATTACATTTTTGTTTGTTTTTTACAATGAAATTGGCTCGATACAACTTAATTTTATTTGTTTTCTCTATTCTCTCTTCGTTTAATTCGATAATTTGTTAGCGCAGTTGTTATTATTTTTGGTTGTTTTTTCTTATTTTTTTTGCTATTCTGCAGCGATGCTCTTAGGCGTTCGGACTGAACGCCGCCTGGCGCAGCAACACATAGATCTTCTCCTTTATCCAGTCCTTGTTGTAGGGTGCGTAGGTGTTGGTGCTCTTCTGATAGACCAGGCAACTAATGTCGATTAACGTATCGATGAAGTCGAACAGCTGGCTGATGTCGTACGTGATGGTGGGCGTGTTCGGGTTGCGCCGCTTCAGATGCTCCTCGTAGATCTTGCAGACGCCCTCCATGCACTCGTTGACGCTCTCATAATCGCAATATGTGCGCGTTTCTGGACGCGCACCCGGTTGCACTAGTAAAATGGTGTGTGACATATCTATGTGTGCGCTCTCTCGCTCGCACTTGGCAAAATAATAAACAAAAAAGAGAAAACAAAAAACCAAAAATTAAAACAAAAAAATTAACGTCTGGCATAAAAGAGATTTGCTTAGGCTCAGGCTTGGCATTGGTTATTCGTTAACTACTCACCGTTATAATTCTCTATAGTTATAGTTTTTGCAGTTGTTGTTGCTGTTCCTTTAGTTGTTGTTGCGGTGGTTGTTGTCTCCGAGACTGTGTGAAGTGCTTAAGGTTCGCTACGACAACTGCACGTTCTAGAAGCGAAAACAAAACAAACAATTGTATACAGACGCACATATATTTGAACATGAATTAAATAATGACAAATGCAAAAGGTTCTCTGTAATTTTTGTTTATTCCTTTGGCATTGTCTCTTGCAATTGACGTTGAATTTACATAGTTGTGCCGCTGCCGCCGCCGCTGCCGTTGCTACTGCGGCTGCGACAGCGGCATATTTTTTCTCCCTCTCTTTATGCTGCCATTGTTTTTGCCGCCAGCCCACACAAGCAAACACGCGTATATACAAGCAGCGGTAGCGCGGCGTCGGCTTGCCCGCGCCGCGGTGGAAAACAAATGTATTTGCCATAGCTGGACAACTCACCTGCTTATCGATATAAAATAATTGTTTCTAATGTTTTGTACTTATAATATAAACGTTATAATTTGTTCACATTTCCCATGGCTTGGTTGCATCTGCTGCTTCTACGCAGACAGTGTTGCGAAATACTGCATAACAGTGTTGCTTAAGGGCGCTGGCCGGTCGGTCTGGCAGCGCTGCCGCGCGTTGCCACCTAGCGCGCCGTCCAGAGCAGCCTGTTAGACAGCTGATTCAAACCGATCGTCACCATGGACCAATTGGAGAGCGGCGCCAGTTGCGAGCGAGCGAGTCGTTTAAGTAAAATTAAATTGCGGTTGTGCCTGATTTTGCGTCTTGTTGTTATTGTTGTTGCTTCTGGCTGTCGCAATGTTGCCGCATTGGGCAAGTGAAATGCAAAGTGAAGGCGCAGCCGCAGCCCAATGATTTGTGCATGTGGCACAAACATTTTAATTAAGAAAAATAAATAACAGAATCATAAGCAACGTTAACCGTGGCTCTTGTTTCAACTGTGGATTTTCCCCCTATTTTTCGTTTTTTTTCTTTCGAATTTGTTTCTCTTGTGCCTAATTTCTTTGCCGCTGCCCAACGCGACGCGACGCACGCGTGTTGAAAGTTTTGTTGCTTTTTGTTGTTGTTTTTTTTTTTAAATATTTGTTTTTTGTGTTGTGCTGTGAGGTGTTTGTGTACAAATACTATATATATATATTACCAATAGTCATAGCTGAGCGTGTTATGTGGTTATTCTAACAGCTAATATTATTGTTTTTATTGTGCACTGCTCTCTGACCAATGTTCTCTGCGGCCAATGGCAAAATCAAGGTGCTAACTCTAATTCGAATATAGGATTCCAATTTGAACGTCAAATAAATTATCATATCTAATTGGAATTCATGCTTGTTGCAGTTGCCGCCACACGAGACGGACGTCGTAGCCTCGTCTACGCTGCGCTGTCTCTTGAACGGACCCTTCCGAGATCTTCACTTCAATGTCTCCGAGCATCGGCTAATACCTGTGCATGATGTCGTCTTCCTGGATGATATCGAACGCAATGTTAAGCCGCTTATCTATAGGCCTGTGCTCGCCGATACTGTGATATCGACGCCGACGTCGACGTCGCCGTCAACGCTTGTGCCGTCGCCACTGAAGCCAGCTGCTGGAACAGTCAATGGCAGGTGAGTGTGTGTGTATGTGTGTTTGGCCTTGAACTTCTTTTTGGATTTGTCGCGCGCGCTCTCTTCGTCACATTTCATGCGGTTAGTGTGTCCCTTTCGCACTTGCCTCATTATTCCATTTCCAATTGATTTGACAGCTGCGCTAAACCGTTAACATAAGAAAGCTTTGGCATCTCGCTTAGGGGTCGAACAGAAGAAGAAACAAAGCAGTTCTCCAATTCGATTCGAATTGGAATTTTCTTAATTATAGTTCAACTGGCTTATTTCCCCATTATTTTTACTACTACTTAAATTATTTTTATCACGTTTAGTTAAAATAGCAATTATTTAGCCCATAAAGAATTCAAGTTTTGTTTTTTTTTTGCCTCCCCAGATTGTGGCTCTGGGCTTTTCGAGTCCGGCTCCTTAGTTTCTTTTAGTATCTCGTTCAGCCAAATTCGCAGTTTTTAATTAATTATTTATTTTAATTGTTTCCACATTGCTTTTATTTAATTGCAAACATGAATTGTTTTAATAGCTTCGGCTTGTTCTATAAGCTGCTTAGGTCAGTTACCTTAAGTGCTACACCGCGCGTACAAGATATCGTTGAACCTATTGTACTTGAAAAAAAAAACTAAAAAATGTTTCCTTATTTAAATAAAAGATTCCTCAATTCAGAGTGAAGTGAATGAACTTTTATCTATTCCGTTACATATATTACTTAAGATCCATATTTATATCACAGCATGCTTTATTAAAATATCTTAATCTAAATATATAATAACTAATAATAACTTTTCAATTTCGAAACATTCTTTGTTCCTAAGGCTTGCGAACCAGAAGCGTCGGGGTATTACAATTATTTATATCCTATATCTATATATTTTGTTAAAATATTGTTTTACGCAATGAAGCTTAGATTCCAATCAGAGTAATACTCAACCAATCAGAATATCAGTAATCCAGTCAACAGCACAGTTAACCATTCACTCTCTCATCTCTAACATCAGCCCTTAGCGGCCAGACTTTGCAATCCTTTCTGTGCTACGATCACTGAAGATGGTTTTTTTCTCATTGTTTTTTTTCTGATTTGAATTTAAAACATTTTTAATAACCGGTTCGTTGCAAAAAGTCATGTTGGAAATTGAGACCTTGTCACCTCGCACACTAATTGAACGTGTTTAACGAGCGTTTAGTCGTGCTCTCGCAACCTGTTCGCCGATAAGCAAAGCAAATGTTGATAACATTGCGTTATCATTGTTATCATTTCATCTGATCGTCGTCACAGATGCGACGTCATCGGAGCTATAATTATTTTTAATTTTTATATGTGAATTTGTTTGTTGTTGTCGTTGTTTTTGTTGTGTCGTGACTCTTTCGCACAGCTGGAGGCGACTTAACCACTTGTATAATGTGTGTTCATACATACATACTCTTATAAATATAAATAATTAAATATATATATATATATATATATATGTATATACCTTTTGTGGGTTAATTTATGGTTTGTTGAGTGAGTGTGTGAGTGAGTGTGCCTGAAACAATACTCAGAATTTGCAACGTGGGTTGCTTATCAAATTTGTTTATTGTGTTCATTATATATTGTTATTCTTGCCTCTCTCTATTTTGATTTTATTATTATTATTATTTGTTCTGACATTTCTTACTTTCTGTATTCTCACAAGTGCCTGGTTAGTAATACCCTGGAATGGGAATTTTGTACAAAAGGCAGCAGAGTGAGAAAGGCAGAGAATGTGAGAGAGAGAAAGATAGAGAGGGAGGTATTAAAAGAGATGTAGTGAGGGAGAGAGAGAGAAAAAGAACATATGGAAAGAAATGGGAAGAGAATAAGTAAAAGACAGGGAGACAAAAAGGCAGAGAGAAAGCGAGAGAGTATTAAAGAAAGAGAGTGAGTGAAAGTTTTTTATGCTCAGTGTATTTGTTCAACACTGTTGTTGTACAGCGCTGCTCAACACTGATGCTGCTAGTTTTTTTCTATAGTAAATAATACAGGGTATTTAAAGTGCGCCTTTCCGTTGGCTCTGCTCGATACATTTACGAGTTGCTTCTGCGTTTTGTTGATGTTATTTTTGAATTTAATTCGCTGTTTTGCTTGAATTGGCTTTTAGCCGTCAGCCTTAATGGCAAACACAAGGTTTGGATAAACATTTCGTAAGTTGCATTCAGCTGATTAAGGAGACTGCGAAGATGCGCTGGTTGCATCAGTTGCTGCCTCTCGTCTTGGTCTCTGCTCGATCTGCGTCTGTAGCCACAGTGTCTAATGAACGCTTACCTTGAGCTTGACCTCGAGCTCCGTGACCGTGGCAGCACGTCAACTCGGCGGTTGCATCATTGCAGCCATGTGGGAATCGCCGTTTGTTGCATGCGCCCGTTCTACGCGCTTCAGTTAATTAATTAGGCATTTATATAGACATTCGACATTCGAGCTGGCAGCTATAATTGCCATTAATCTAATTGCCATGCGATACTCTGACCCGATGCGTGCCCCCGTGCCACTTGCCACAAGCTCCGGCTATAAATATCGCAATTGTAAAAAGCAATTGCATGTTGTATCAACAATGCACTCACCCAATTACCCCCAAATGCGGCGCGAATAGTTGCATTATTTAAATACGAGCGTAACGCACGTATTCATTATGCTCGCCATTGTTCATTAGCTGCCTCATTAGACGTCGCATTCAATGCATTTTTGCTCTTATTGCAAATCCTATTTACTGAAGACTTCTGCTGTAGTTGAGCAAGGGAATTGCAGCAGCTTTAAGGTCTTTAGTTGTTGAACTCGTTCGCGAGGCGTTGAGGATATTTTGGTTGCAGCCGTCGCGAGAGATGCCCGTTGTGACCCTTGTCTTATACAGCGCTAAGATTAGACACCCACTGGGGGCGTGGCAGGTTGGTAGACGCCATAGCTGCCAGAAGTATCGTATCTATATACAACTGCGGACAGTCCGAGATTAAAAATATATAGTAGCTATATCTGCGCCCAGTTGGGGCATGGCAATGCGGGTGAGACTGTATCTTTTACAGTTTTACAGCTCGATACTGTAAACTTTACTGTTAGCCACTCTTGACTTACCAAAAACTATGTGTAACGGGCTCTTGAAGGGCGTGGCAAATGGGAATGCAGCTCAAAATTGGATAGTTGAGTTGCTGCCCTCGTGAGAGTTATCAAAAATGATTCAAGTGTGGACGGGTATTATGCAGTCGCTGGCGCCCGACTGTGACTTTCTTCTGTTTACCTATTTTCGCTCCAAACTCACAACTGAACTCTGAGTTGACTCATCTCTTCTATTTACTTTATATACTATGATTAATCATGCACCTGTGAAATTTCCTGTTGAAATCATCAGATCTTGACCTGTAAAGCCTCTCCCTTTCTGTAAGTCTCTGCTCAATGGCTTGCTCTCAGAATGCTGCATAAATATTTGAAAAAAATCAATAACATTTTTAATGTTTTTTTTTGGCATTTTTTCACTTCAAATACTGATTTTTCAAAACTGATTTTTGCGACTCGATTTGTCGTTTAAATTGCAGGCGAAAACTCCTAAAACTGAATACTGTATTTACTGCACATTTAAGCAGAATCGGAATGCCCGCCAACAGTGTGCTGCGTACAGGGTATAAAATCATTTTCAGCTGGCTGCACACTCTGCGCCTTGGCATTGAAATGGCTCATTAAATGCGCGCGTTTTTGCCTTTGTGTCTTGGCTCAGCTCATTTTCAATTTTATGGTTCCTCTGGCTCGCCAGCCGGCAACTGGCAACCGGAAGCCAACGTCGACGTCGACGCCGACGCCGACGCCGACGCCAAATCGTCAAACAGACGAATCGCCAAACAGTCGAGCAGCCAATATATATTTTAATAAATTTTTTTAGCTCTCGCCTCTGCTTGCAATTAGCTCGCTCGTAAGCCAGCTTCGGAAATCAATAGAACTATTGGCCAACACTCGACTAGTAGTTACCCTGTAATAGCCAAACTAGTTCGCCTTTCAATAAAAATTCATTTGGAGTGGGATGTGCTCGACTAGGACACTCTCGGAAAACCACTATGTAGACTCTAAGCATGATTCCAGATAAAGTTCGGGTTCATTTTGAAAAGATGTCATGGAAATCGAGCCAGATTTTGTGATCATTCATAGACTCTAGGTAGCCAGATCGACACGATTATTTGAATTAGTTAATAAAAAATTGTTCATAAAAAGCTTTCCCTTCTACTATTTAGTTTGCTTGGCTTTACTTTTACTTAACTTTTGCCATTTGGTTTATGTTTACGACTCAACTGATGATTGTAAAATTGAACTCAGCTCAATATAAATTAAGAGCAAAGACAAGTAAAGCATTTTTGGTCATGATTAGCTGATGATATACATATAAGATATGATTTGACATGATAGATGCCTCAATCTAACTGCAGCAAGCTACTGAAATGATGAAATATTCCATGAGAATTGCGCTGCAACTGAGGGACATGGCAACACTGTTGCTGAGAAGGTTATATATCGACTGACTTATGAGTATAGATACAAATGCTTCTATGACACAATCAGCAGAGGGTCTCAAAAGGCTCTAACGGCAATCAAAGCTTTAAAAAATTCAGGAAAACTTTCGACTTTACCCTGAACAAGGCCTCAAATTGAAAGCAAAAAGGTAAACTTTTGTTCTCTCTCAATCTCTTCCACTCTATGTCTTTCTCTTTCTCTCTTTCCCACACTCTCTCTCTCTCTCCCTCTCCCTCTCATTCTTTCTCTTTCGCTCTACATATATATCTCTGTCTCTCTCATGTTGCAGAGCTCATTCAGCTCTCTCTCTATCTGTCTCTTTCCGTCTCTCCCTCTCTTCTTATCTTCCTCATACGTATATATCTCTCTCTCTTTCTCCCTGTCTACCTGTCATGTTTTTGAGTTCTTTCAGCTCTCTATTTCCCTCTTCTTTTACACATCTCTCTCTCTCTCTCTTCTTCGTGCTCTCTCTTTCGCTCTCGCCCTGTCTTTCTCTCCAGTT